TGTTGGTCCTTGGGCCGTTGAGGTCGGCATCGAGCCAGGCCTTTGCCTCATCGGCGTCAGTAGGCTGGGTGTTGATGATCGAACCCCACTGGCCTTGCGCCTTGAGGTACGACTTCATCGGCTGCGCCCACTCGAGGTAGTTGCGGCCGTCGAAGGCGGTAGGGACAGCACTGTAGAGAGCACCAGACATATTGTCGAGAGGTATGGTTCTAGAAGGGAGACTTGTCAGCCACACGCCTTCGAAGAACGCAGTCGAGGCAGAGAGAGATCATGCCGACATAGGTTACCTCTCTGTGGCACTGTAGGCAGCGACGAAGCGCGCCACAACAGTCCACAGCGCATGCATGGCAGGCAGCGTATGATCGCACCAGATCCAAGCAGCGGTTGCACATCGATAACGATGGCAAAAGATCCAGGTGAGCTGCGAGCTTACAGATCGCAGCATGCAATGAGCGGCACAGATTCTGCAGCGTCGAGCAGGGCTCATAACCTGTTGAACCCGGGGGGCGAAGGCCCTCCCACGGGTGGCAACGACAGTGGATAGCCTGCAACTCACCTAGAAGGGTTGTTGGTTATAAGAGGCTTGTTAGAGCGATGAGAGGAGACGTTCGAGTGAACTGAACTGTAGATTGGGGGTACAGAGGTCCCCTATATATACTACTGTACATCTGTGGCTACATAGTACTATACAGTACCTTCCCAGGATGCACAGTCGCACAGAGAAGCAGTGCGTACACAGCAAAGCTGTGTGTGTACCACATGAGTAGTACAGCCTCGGTTATTGCAGTAACTGGCTGTGCCGTTCCATATCTTGTGACGGCTGTATTAGGCAAGCTGTGTCAACCAGCGCCTGTTCAACAAATACAAATCTCACCGAAGCCAGTGTAAATGCAATGTGAAGAGTGCTCAGGATAAGCAGTATCCTATAGTTCAGATGTCAGGAGTGCCAGAAGAATCGATGGTCGAGCACTGACAGGAAGTAGGTAGTCTCTATGGAAGTGATTCATGAGATGCTTGAGCCTTCAAGGTAGCTTATCATCGATGACACTACATACCATCATGGAGAAGAGTGCTTGAGAGAGTCCGGTGGTCCTTGCCCTTTGAATTCCCTCAGGACAATTGCATGATCCCGTGCGTTCGGTACCAGGTGATGCATAGAATAGATAAGTTGGCTACTATCAGAGAACATCTGGAGACCACCAATACTGTGAAGACCCGATTGTCAGAGGCTCGTACAAGATCATATGATAACAGCTCACATCTGATATTTATTTAATTAGATCCTCATTGTCTGAGTCGATATGCTCGTAACAGCCACATAACCTCTATCTGGGACGTCCATCAAGGAGGTAAAATGTAACTTGACCTGCTCAAGAAAGATGTATCATATCGTCGCTCATAGTCAAGAAGTTACATACAATCATGTCCATGAACATGGGGATCAAGGACAGGGTGAATATGGTCACTGTGCCCACCAATCTGCCCGGTCCTTGGTACAAAGAATATGACCGAAGTGCAGAAAATGCTGTGATCTGGTTGAATGCAAGAAAAGCACGACATAAAACATAGTACATACCGGCCCAAGGTATGTATTTAAGAGCCCGCAATACGTTGAGTGCTGTGAAAGATGCAGCGGCGCTGAACTTGTTTTAGCATGCGGCTCTGTTCCCGAGTGTGCACTGGCTCTAGCTGAATCGTCTGTACCTCTGCTGAAGCACTGAATATCTTTATGAAATACCGAAAAGTGGTAATATTCACCTTGTAAGAGACAGGCAATGGTATGTTGCCCCTAATTTGTACAGCGAGAGGGATGTATCGGTTTAGCAGGAACAGAAAAAAGGCGCCATTTGTTTGCCACGGCATCCAGAACAGTGTGACCTCATTACCGAATGTGATCAGGTAGTCATAGATGAATAGGGCTAGAATCCCAGATGCGATTGAGTTAACGTTCAAGTCCAGATCGAAGGAACGTGGAACGCACTCAAGGCAGCATAACTGACACAAGCCGCGGCGAATTCGCTGCCATGAATTGTTGATCAGGGTACACGAATGTGACCAAAGCTGAGACACACCTGACTTCAGATGTGATAGCTTGAGCCTCTGAAGAGTTCGACATAGCCAACTAATATCCTAACAGTGGTATAGACGGGAAGTAGTCCAGAGACTGCTAGGAGGAGTACTGTAGATCTGGTTTAAGCCCTATGGGGCGCAAGCTCAGTTCGCTATATAACTACTGCATCGAACAATGTTCTCTGTTCGTAGCCAGAGAGGACGTATTGGGCACATTCGATATAAATATAATGAACAATATTTGATATCCTGATCACTAGCTAGCTCTCCCTGCGCAAGCCGGCGGGGGTGCCGAACAAGGATCGAATAGTCCCCGCGCCGAACTTCTGGCGATTCCTGAGATTGCGGCTATAAGAATGTCGGGGGGTGTCTCTCTTGGCTATTCGTACCGTTCCGAATTACTGAAAGTGGTTCCGAGTTACTGAAAGTGGTTCCGAATTACTGAAAGTGAATGCTTCGAGAGATGGACATACCTTGCCGCAATCAGAACAAGCCAGGGGTTGCGATGACATCAGTAGTGAGCACTACGACGAAGGACATATCATTCTCCGGTCTGATCTTCACACTACGGCTGGGGATATACCATTACTCGTCAAGATGGTGATAGGAGTAAAAGCTTCCTGTCATCTGGATCAAGTTTTAATGAACACCCATACTAAAGGCCTAATCCAGAACGCGATGATATCCATCTACCAGCACGCTTCTCAGCCTTCCTCTTGACCGTCAGCGGTGATACACAGATCGTACTAAGAAGCAACTGCTCGTCATCTGAGAGAAACAAACAGAGTATTGGTCGGAACAAGCGTTCACATAGAGAAACCACTCCCGCAACTCCCACGTTGAGTAAAATCAACATCACGTACGATACACCATGACAAGCGTGGAGATAATTCGTGCGTCCCTATCTCGTAGCAGACATTCATGCATAGCGACATCTTACTACTGGGAATTGCAGCGGTCTCGTACCTATCCGTGGCAGCTTGCGACCCACCGCAGCACAGACGACGGAGAGGTCGTTGCATACGAGACTACGGCTATATTTGGAGCGAAGTTCTTGCGAGGCGGTTGCGCAGCAGCTGTCCATCGCCAGCTTCCGTGTCATATAGCCTGATAGAATCTACTCCCATCCACATAACCATCGCAATACATGATCCTGGACTTCAATGTGACTGACTGACCGACCCACCAATCAATACTCTGACTTCCCTTGCTATCATCCGTTGGCGCTGTTGCCTACACACGGCCCCTTGGTCTAGAACACGATAGGAGGAGCAGCGAGTAACCATGTCCACCAAGCCACCGCCCCGAAGGGACCCTCATGGTGGACCCGCAATTGATAGCATGCCATGACGATGGATCTGACTCACCGGGCACACAAGGGGAGGCGGTCTCGGGAAGACGGCGGGGGCATGAAGTATGTCATGGGTGCGTGAAAAGCTCTGCAACCACCATATCAGCTGCTACAATTATTGAGAGGGAAATTTGCGTATCCTGGAACAATAGCAATCAGTGCGATGATCTCTTACAGTGGGAATGCAAAGATCTGCAGCATTCTGAAGAAGGTCTCGTAGCGGGGATGGTGAGCTGAGCCTACGTCCATGGCTATGAGCGAAAGAGAGCCGAGTGCGTCTCTGTGTGCGCCAAGCACATAAATGTACGTATGAACAGTGCTTGAGATCGCAATACCCGGCTTCGGAGAGAACGCAGGAGTCGGATATGATGACAAGAAGTGGAGAGATACGCGAACGTACGGGCGCTGGTCTGGATCTGGCGTCTACCAGTCGAGATGCCAAATGTTGGAATTCACCGTCGGTCATCGCATGGACTCCCTATAGCGGCCACTACCCCTCTCTCTCTCGTGTTCCCAACACACACGTGGTCTCAATATGTAGACTAATTTGGCTTTGCAGCATGATACTTTTCCGCAAACTCACGACGGCGGGAGGAAGCTCAACCCGCTCGAGCAGAATTTGGATCAGGCTGCCTTCGCGGACCCCCAGAAAGCTTGTTCTACGTCCGTGCACATATCGCCACCTTTGCGTTCGCATGCTCGTCGCGATCCTCCGATTTCCCAGCTTCTAACATCTCGATGCGCGTTCGGTTGACCATCACCCAGGAAGAGTGCGTTGCCCTCGTAACCGATCCCTCAGCGCATCTGGCCGCGATCAACTCCTTGCTGGGCACAGTACATCCCTCGATCCTTAACGCAATGGGTTGCGCTTGTAATTGCTTGGATACGGTGTTAACATCCGGACTATGGAAGGCCCTGATTGGGTCGTCCGGAGTGTTGACCTACGGTAATAAAGAAGGAACTCGAGGTGTAAGTACCGACGTTCATTCCACACCCCTTGTTTACACTCTGATGGCGCATGTGGGATGGGATAGCGAGAAGGAACTGAGCGGGGATGATAGAGTCATCCTGGGCCATGTCTAGGCTGTCGGAACGAGGTTGAGCACGTTTGCTGTCTCTCTACACCAAAGCCTTGCACGCGTACGCACCTCTAGGCGTGTTCAGGATTCATCTGTGGAGCTCGCATGGATAACGCAATTCGAAGCGAAGCAGCAGCAGCAGCAGCAGCAGCAGCAGCAGCAGACGGCTATCGACCGTTGCCTGAAGTCCCTCGTCCAGAAGTAGCTCGTGTAGGCGGTGAAAAGAGTCCATGTGCGTCCAGCCTTGTAGGGTGGTGCGCCTCCATCATTGACAGGCATTGAAGAACCAGAAGCGGAAGACATACATGCTTTACCACCCCTACTCCGAGGCGTCTGTCGAGATGACGGGCGGCTCGTGTTACACAGACAACGAGCTTGACACATGTGAGAGACATATGTAATGTATTCATTTTGCCCTCGGGCTCATCCCTCGCATTCTGCAGAGCCGTCTACATAAGGCGATCTAATGGTGAGGTTCAAGGCGGAGGATACTGTCACTGGAGATGAGAGATGGAAGGAAACATATGTCGTGCGATTCTCGGAACTAGGCGTTCGTGCCGCAGCCCTTCTGAGCCGCCTCGACAAGTCGCCCAATTTTGCCTACCTAACTGACATGTTCTCCAAGCCAGCCTCGAGCCGGTCAACGACGAGATGTCATCCCGAAACGCCCCATTGCTGCGACCGAAGTTGCACTAACCAAAGCAGAATCGCAGGTGTGGCGTAAGTCGACGACCTGGGCCGAGGCAAGTCGGGAGGATTCGGAAGACTTCTATGCCCAACCCTGATTATACGCGTTTATGGCTCTCGGAGTAACACCGACGGGATACTGGTGCTCTATTACTAACGATTGACGCGAACCCGGACTGGACAACGAAGACCCACACAGCGCTTGATTGCCAATATGCATGAAGAGTCCAATACGATGCCAAGAGTGCTATGATACATCGGGTATGCTACAAGGGGACATCCTAGTCCTTGCGAAAACATTGCGACAAAACAAGGAGGAAATGAACTCTCACACCTCCGTCTCAACGTCCGGCTGCCTAGTCTTCATCTTGAAGTGGTCTTTGGCGTTATGCACGCTATCCTGCACATTGTCCTTGATCCACTCTGCGGTGCGCACCGGCTTCGCCTGCATGATGCCCCGGTGGTCTCGATGTAGCTCCTTCTCGTGCTGCCGCCAGTCCTTCACCTTCTCCATCAGACTGCGCTTCCGTGGCCGCTCCCCACCATCTCCATTGTCGTCGTCGTTAAAATCGCCTTCGCTATCGTTTCCGTCTGCGCCCGCCGCATGCGCGCCCGCCTCACTGCCATCCGGAGAAACAACTTGAACCTCGTCAGCAGACACCGCAGTGTTCAACCCCTCGCCCTTAGCATCATTTCTCGCGTCCTCGTTGTCGCCATGAGCATCGTTGATCGGGCCCCCGGTGAGTGTCTTGTCCTTCTGCTCTTCGCTCTGCTGATCCTCCGTCTTCTTCGTGGCATTGTTCTCCTTCGAGCTATGGTCGTCCGGCTTGGGCACTCGAACATTCATCTCCCCCACCTCGTCCCGCATCCCACCCGTCTTCTGGCGGTCGTACTCATCCCACGACGCGCGCTTCCTTGACCCACGGCCCTCGTGGAGCATCTCGTAGTGCTTCTCGCCGACCCCAGGCCAGAACGCCATGTCGATACGCACCGTACCAATTTTCTCGACCTTCTCCCGGTCGCTGTCCCAGTACGACAGATCTCCGTCGGGCGGGACGTAGTTGTACTTGAGGCGCGAATAGTCGCCGCCCTTCGCGCGCCACAGCGCACACTCGACGGGGCCCTCAGCACGGTCGACGACATCGCGGAGCCAAAGGACGGCGAGGGCCTTGCGGCCAGAGCTCTTGAATCCGGACTTGTCACGGAAGGAGACGAGGAGCGCTGCGGCGTACCGCTGGCGCACAGGCAGCTTCGTCTCGCTGGTCGGCAACCAGACCAGGCTTCCGGCGCATCGCTCGACAGATTTGTACGAGACCTTTTCTTCGGCCTCGCCGGTGGTGGTCTTCAGGCGGACCTCACACTGCACAAGGTCTCCAGGAGCGTTTTCAACAGAGATGGCGCAGATGTCGAGCGTGCCGGTATCGAAGCCGAGGAGGCTGGGCGGAAGCTTGGCTTCGAGGGGGCGGAATAGAAGAGATATTCGGATGCGGCCCGTGCCCAGACCATTCTCGAGCGAGTAGAAGCGAGTGACCTCCGAAGCGTTTACGAAGACTTCCGTGAGCTATGAATTTTTGGAGGTTTGAACATCATCCAGGACAGCGTGGGCCAAGAGACGAACCTTCAGGAACACAGTGCCGAGGACGGCATCGCTCTCGCGCATGCGCGAGTCCATGACAGTAACTGCGACGTGGGCCTTCCGCCAGTCCCTGACGAAGCGCTCCGTTCCGGCATTGAACATTGGTGAACTCGTGATGGGCTTCACCCGTGTCTCGTACACGAGCTCATCATTCAGTGATCTGCAACGCACCCATATGAGCTCTAGTCTCAGCCGAGGCACAGTGGGGAAGACTCACAAAATGCAGTAAGACGATGGCAGCCCCTGGTCCTCCTCCTCCGTTTCCTCTCCCGTATCCTGGCCCTTCTCCCCTTCGCGTCCTTTACCGCCCTTCCGCTCTTTGCCCATCGTCTTCACCGACAGATCCCTGATCTCGTGCACCTGCATGCTCAATATCCCGCTCTGCCATTCAGGATCGGGCGGGGTGACGAGCACGGCGGCCTCGATGTCATTGAGCGCGACAGCCTTCGCGTCCTTGAGCTCCTCTTTTCCGCGCAGGTCGTCGGGGATGTTCGGGTCTGTGCCGTCCGTCGTGAGCGCCTTGTTGGGGGGTAACTTGCCATAGTACCCGACCGTGTACTCCAGCGAGCCTGGGCGGTTGCGCGAGTCGGGCGAGGCGAGCGGCGAGACGCGCCGGGCGGGCTTGCCACGGTGCCGGATGAGGTCAACGAGGTCGATTTCAACGAAGCCCATCATATCGTCCTGTCGGGCCCGGCAAGTCGATGAGCACATATCTTACGAATACAAGGATCGGAGACTTACGACGCTCATGCGGTCCGAGTCCCACAGCTGGAAGCTGATCTTCTCGCGCAGCTTGACAGTATTGACGTCGACCAGCAGCACTGCGGTTTCTTCGAACACGGGGTTGAGGTCGCCTTTAATGATCCGCGTCGAGTACAGCGGCTTCTCGAGTCGCGAGTACGTGAGCGCGACGTATGGGTCTGCTGAACCTTCAGTTCTGGATAGGGTCCTTCGAACACTGCGAGAGGACGAGTGACGTACCTGACGACCCGGTTGCGTCCATCTTCTTGATATTCGTTGCACGGTGGATGTGAGTAACAACGACGCCGATGGCCTCCGTATCTACGCGCATACAGTGTGCTAAGCATAAGTGACAACCTCGGACAGGAGGCCAAACTCACCCTTCTTGATATCGTCGCCAGAAATGAGACGCTGGAGGTCCAAGGTCAAGCTCTTGGGGGCGACGTACTCGGCCGCAGCGGTGTCGATAGCGCTCGAGATGAAACCAGAGATGAAGGGTAGGTTCATGATGTTCGGCAACGCTCTGCTCATAGGCACCACGGAGATCGTGATTCGGGGCAGGCCCATCAGGGTGACAATGGTCGTCTTCACACTACGAGACCTGTCAGAGTACGTCGGGTGCGAACCGCGAGAGGATCTACTTACAAAGGCGGGTCCGGGATTAGCTGGAGGCGAGTGCGGGCAGTACCTACTGCGCCAGTAATCTCGACCCATACGGCTAGAGGAGATTGACATGGTCACAATGGGTCCTTCACAGCATTATACGGCATACTCACGGATTCGGAAGCCCCACAAGTTCTTCAAACCTAGAAAGAACTCAACCATCAAGCTGAAATCGCGTCAATCCAACTGCGTTAAGCTGCAGATAATGCGTCTGGACGTACTGTATATTCTGAGCCTTGCTCTGAGCCGTCTTCCCGCTCGGCAGGCCCTGGTAGGCAAACGACACTTCGAGGTTGATGTGGTCCCCATCGAGCGCGTCGCGGTCTTCCGGTGTGATAGTGTCGACATCGATGCCGAGACCCTCAATGCTGTCCTTATGCTCGCCATTTGCGCCTTCGCCGCCGTACACGTCTGCGAGGGAGCGGATAGAAGTGACACGGCCTGCGTTTGACCCAAGGCCCATGTCCGCGATCCGCACGGAGTGCTGTCGCCCGATCGTGAGCGATGCAGGATTGCACTGAAAATCTAAAGGAAAGTTCAGGAATACATACAATGAACGTCGGGGCGGACGACTGCATGATGTCCTCCAGCATATCAATCAACGAGCTGAACAGGTCCGTGTTGATGATCGGCCAGAGGCCGCGCACGACCGCGTTCGCCCACTCCGCGCTCTCCTTCGTCCGCTCCTCGTCCGTCACATTCCCGTCGTGGTCGACGTCCGAGCCCGCCGCAAGTCCGCGCATGCGCTCCGAGTGCCAGACGCGCTGCTCGAAGTCCGCCTCGGCGGCGTGGTTCAAGCGGAAGAGGAGGACATAGCTGATGAGTGCTGGGGGCAGGGCGAGGAGTACGCGCCAGTGCCAGGAAGGGAGTATGATGGAGAGGAGAAAGGATGCGAGGAAGGCGAGGGAGGTGTAGACGACGGAGGGGTTCGCGATGGAGAGGACGTGGTCGCGATGCGCTTGCCAGTCTGCGCATCATGGTCAGCACGACAATCCCGACATATTCCAAGAACTGTGAATGAGAACAGCCCCATGTGTGAAGCGAAGCATCACGGCGAGACCTCGCATGTCTCAATGAACCGACCATTGATGATGTCGTTGCCCACAAGATACGAGACGCACTTGAGCATCACGACACTCACCTGGAGGGGAGAAATCGTTATGCAGAACATTCTCTCCTTTCGAGCGCGTGTCTGGCTCCTCGTCCGCGTTGCAAATGTCGAGCTCCTCCCCGGTCGTTGGGTCCTTGACGTGCATGACATGACCCTTAGCCAATTTGTCTGCCGTCTTCCGCGTGTCCTTAGCTTCTCGACGCGCGCTGGAATCCTGCAGTTGTTTCGCTTTGGCATCCGTAGCCTTCTCGGGCGAAATAAGGGAGGTGAGCTTGGTGGCTATGACCGGTACGGGGTTCTTGCCCGAGTATGGTTCTCTCTGCTTGTGCGCCATGATCGAATGAGATCACAAGGAAGGTCGTGAAAGAGATTGCGTTAGTGAGAGAAAGGTGCTAGTGAGGCTGAGGCAGTAGGGTCATGGAAGAAGCACGTATGTCGCAGTAACTTTGGAGTGATGTATGTCGGCGGTTTTGCCTCCAGGAAATAGTGTCATCGGTGGAGTGGTGGATCTCCTGCTTCGCCCGTGACTCAAATTCAAGTCTTGAGACAATTGTAACTTGGGAAGACACTCTATGGTCCCAGGAGTACGGTTGTGTGGAAAATGAGCTCGTATTGTCGAGGACAACGGGGTAGAGATACAGTGGCTACGTTGCAGCTCTGGGTGGCTGAGGTACAGCGGCGCAGAGAGCGGCAGCCATGTCGTCATTCGCCTCGGCACCTTCCGGTCTGACAGTGATGGTATGTATGCCGTGAGCGCTTGCTCAACGCTCGTTCCCCCGGCATCGTTTGACTCTACTGTGACAATGCATGATTGATAGTCATTATTTTTATGCCTGCCCGGCTGGTATATCTTCAACTGTGCGCGATTCGCCACATCACACTGGTAGTTGGTTGCACTATCAGTGTTACGATTGATATCCACGAGCACACAAGCAAAACTTCTACTTCTAACGATTACTCTTCCTTATGCTCCATGACAATCATCCGCTTCAGTCAAACTCTCCTACACTGGCAGACAATGATTAGAGGGTTGTCACGTCGTCTTCGCTCAAACTTGTTCGGATCAGCATCTCAGCTTCCGGAGAACGAGGCTTAATGATGCAATCGAAAGGCTCCGGGTATCTACGATTCGGGTTCAGACAGGTTGAAGCGTGCCTCTCGAGGACCGGACAATACTCACGAGAGGACACCGTGGGTCATCTTGACGTGGTCGGCGAGGCGAATAGGCTGAGTGTGCTCGTCGAGGGGTGCTTCAATTGACATGGTGTGTAGGATCCCCGACACGACCGCATAGATGGATCCTTCTGCGAAGTGGCGACCCGGACAAATCCTGCGAAGAGTTTTGTGGAACAGTTCAATTTGAACGAGTAGTCTGAACGAGAAGAGCCACGTACCTTCGTCCATAGCCGAAAACTATGGCAGCTGGATCCTGAGCGTTATGGTCTAGTTTACCATCCTTGAGGAAGCGTTCCGGTCGAAATGCCTCCGGGTCTTCATATAGATTCGGGTCTCTGACATATGCCCTAGTGACCGGACCGACATGCTCAGTCATAGCGTAATTGAAGTATCACGGAGGAGTATACCATGGGTTGCTGACTACTGCGGACCGCGCTGGAATACGGTAGCCATTGTACTCGTCTTCCTCTAACGACGAGTGAACGACGCCAAGTGGAACAACGGGTCGCCAGCGCAAGCATTCCTTCATGATTGCTGCTATATAAGGAAGATCATCTTTGTCTGCGAATGTGGGAAGGCGATGTGGTCCGACGACAGCATCGAGTTCTGCTTGAGCCCGTTTCTGTACCTCTGGGAAGGAGGCCATGGCTATGTAGAAAGTCTGGAGTGTGGAGATTGTCTAAAGAATGTAGTAGCGGTCAGTATGTGCCTATCACGGTGCCCATGATAGAAGGCAACGCACCGTGTCGGCACCACCTGGAAATCATATCCATTAGCTGGGAACGACTTCTGGTGGGTAATGTTTTGACGTACCGGCGTAAGCAGATGCGATGGCATTCTTCGAATACTCCTCCTGTTCAGCCGCTGCTTTCTCGTCAAGGTGAGACATGCGTTCAAGGAGGCCGCTGGCCATTGAAGGTATAGCGTTACCCTCACGCTGCAGCAAGGGCGTTGCTACTTCGTCAGTTATTGACGGCATGGCATACTCTTAGCTGTCACTCACCAAAGCAGTCATAGCAGCCTCCCATGGTAGGTCTCGCATCTTACGGACAACCGGGTACCATTTCGCAGCTTCCCGCTTGAAACCCGCTCCAGGCATGAAGGACGGAAGATAACGTAGGATTGGAAATGACTCGACCAGATACTTGCCGGGAAGGAAGGCCTGGGAGAAGATGGCCAGGGCTGCTTCGGCGATACCTAGGTAGTCTGTATCCTTGTGCTTGTCGACATCAATGCCATAGCTCACTCGGATGATTGTGGCACCGAGGAAGCTAGGCAAAGGGGAAGGTTAGTCACGTATCCACACTGCGCTACGGGGTTGGGACTCACTGTCGGCCGTGGTGAAGGAAATTCTTGGGATCTTCTACAACCCGAAGGAGGTACTTACAGGCCTCCCATTCTTGAATTGGACGGTACCGGAGAACGGCGTTTGGGTGCATGTACTCATGGAAGAGACGTCTCGTCTGTCTCCACTCGGGGCCATATCTAGTAAGCGTGAAAACCCACGACCAGCCTGACCTAGAGGGCGACACGATGTCAGTGACATACGCTGCTTGCGTAAGGCATGCTCCCACAGGGAAGCCATGGGCGAAGAGAGCCTGTCAGAGTAATTGGAAGAGCGCTTCTCCAACAAGTCAATGGCGGCCTTGTGCGTGCCAAGAACAATCATCGACTGGCCGCAAGCATTCAGATAGACAATGTCCCCTATCATGTGGGTTGAGGAGCAACAACAGACGTCAGAACGAATCTGGATGTACCATATTGTGCGTTCAGACCGCGGAACGCTAGCTCCATATCGTGACTTGGCACATCAAGAAGATTACCGATGATAGGATAGCAGGGAGGGCCAGGAGGGAGTGGTAAAGCAGCCGTACGGCGCAACCATCTAGCTCTCACTACGAGCGCAGCTAGTACAGCAAGGACGATGAGTATTAGAGCAAGGAGGCTCCCCATGGCTGTGAGCGATCTGTGTGAGGGTAGTGGAGAATAGGCAGAACTCTAGGCTTTATGTACTAGGATGCTGAGCCTTATCTCGCTTTATTAGGATCGTGCAGTCAGGTGAGGCACCGTCCTATAAAAGGTGAGGAGAAGATTCCGAACGATAAAAGAAGAGCGCTCGTTGAGTGAAACAAAGCCGAGCACATGGCAGAAATGCAAACCGGAAGAATCAGTTTGCGTCATGCAAGCACGCTCTGAGGAGAGACTTACCTCTCGGCAGTGATTTTGACACACCGAAGAGTATTCGTCCAATCCAAGACATCATACCACGGTTTCCTTTAGCTTCTATTGGAACCATACACGATGCTGGCACGGAGCATCGTACTGAACGCGTGCAGCACCCTGTTAATCTGTACGTGCTACTGGGTGTGGTGGCTGACGTGGGACCCTGTCATATCGCCACTTTTTCTGGCAAGCGGCACGCCGGCAGCCGACCAACGGTACTGTTGATGACAATTCTGTGGAGCCCATATGGTGCGCAGAAGCTTTGACTTGGCGGCGAAGAAGGAAGCCTCAGCGAATCCTGGATGGATCATGTGAGGAAACCCTACGATTAGCAAGCGCAACCTTCGCCCATAGCCAAGGGCTATCGTAGCAGGCTGCTGGACGCTAAGATTTATCTTGCCGTCTGGGTGCAATCGCGGGTCCCGAGTGTACAGCCTCGTAATCTTCAACGTCCTCGCCAGCAAGGCAAATATTGACCACATACCACGGGTTGATCACCACGGCGGACTGCTTTGGTATACGGAACCCTTTGTGTTCGTCGGCCTCAATCGACAGGTGATCAGCGCAAGAGGGGCTACTGGTCCCTAGCGCGAAATTTCTTGATGTGTGCGATCAGCTCAAGGGGATAGCCTACTGTCCGCGAAAGTCAGCAGACGGTGAGGCCCAACTACGGCGTGGGGCTCAGCTTGAGCGCGTTTCTGCACCCCCAGGGAGGATGCCATGGCAACATAGACATTTTGAAACGTAAGGAGCGTCTGGGACAGGAACTATTAGCACACAATTCTGGCAAGAACGAGCGCACGCACGAACAGTATTAGCACCACCTGGTAACAGACTCCTCGGTGTCTGTGCTCGCGTCCTCCTTGTCGCCGCGGACGTCATTCATAAAAATTTCCAGTGAGTGTTTTGTTCATCACCTCCCCGCTTTTCTGCTGACCCTTTAGTGTACCCTCGAGACTCGCAGCCATGACTCGGCAGTGCCAGCACCCAGGCCTGCAACCGCGATCGATCAGCCCGCCTAGCAGCTTCTGCCCATATGCCGAATTTGTGGTCCTTGAGGGCAGCGTTCGCATGCAATATGGCTGCGTTGAAACAATCGTACCGAGCATGCTCATGACATCTGAGGTTGTCATCTGCGCCTGCCTTCCAAGCCAACTGGGATTTAGCGTTTTAGTTGGCACCTCAATGACATCAGAGCCATCTCTCATATGTCCGCCGTCCATGGCCACTTATACACAACCTGCACATGGCACCGCGTTTGCGCATTAAGGGTGATTATAAACTTGACATTGGCTGGTCTTCAGGCGATCGAAGGCTTGAGCGGCCGCTTGTTCCACAAGCCTGGTTATGTTTGCCTTTGATTAGGCTCAACACACTGAAATGCCCGGGCCAGAGAGAGAATAGCGGCTGATATAAAACTATTGAGCATAGGTGTGTGAGCAAACGAAAGTATACCGTTGACCTTGGATCACTATACTTACCTATATGTCTTGTCAACGGTCGTGTCAACACGCACGGTCAAGTTCGGCGACTACCGAGACCCGGTTCTACATCTCAGAACGATCTAATCTAATCTGCAGCCTAGTTGGCGAGATCTGACGACCATCGCGGAGGGCCAGACATCCTCAGCCCCATCTTTTCGAACATATCTGGGCCTCCCGACACACTGGAGCTGCCCTGAAGATCATGGCGACGACTGCGACCTTGCCTCCTGGCACTGCGCCAATCAAACCAGAGTACGAACTGCCCTCCGGCGAATAGGCTCCTCTCCATCTACCCGAATTTGTAGTTGAACCTCACCCGCAGATTCCTTCTTTCCTTCCAGGCCCTCGATGTCCCAGACGACGATGCCGCGGAGGGGAGCAGCAGCCACGTTAACGGCAGGCCCGAAGCCCTCTCCGCTACGGGCGCAGAGGAACCCAGCAAGAGATTGTCGGGCGCCCAGCGCAAACAGCTCGCTAAGGAGGAGCGCAAGCAGAAACGCGGCGCGAACAAGGGCAGACGCTTTCAGAAGGTCCGCGACGAGGTCGAGCTGTGCTTCAGGGTCGCAAGCGGGAAGCAGTGCGATTTCGGTGCAGAGTGCGTTGTGCGTTCAGCTGGAAGCCGTTCAGGAATTGACTGGCCGTCGTGCTGAAGGTGCAAGTTTACGCATGACGTCTCCGCCTACCTCACTGCCAAGCCAAGAGATACATACTTTCCCTCCACGGAAGATATCCTGAATGAACCCCCATTCGTGCGGTTACCGGACGTGGAGATGGAGGAAGGGCAGGCGCCGAGGACCTCCCTGGACCCAAACACTACCTGCCCAGTATTCCAGAGAACGGGCGAGTGCAAGCAGGGCCTCAAGTGTCGCTTCCTTGGAAACCATGCACGCACACGCGAGGTCGGGGAGTTGGAGCTAGTCGTGGATGAGGAGAAGAAGGCCCACGTAGCTGCTTCGGAGACGGAGGTCAATTTTATTGACGGAGATACATTGCGCAAGATCCGGACTAAGAAGGTGTGCCCGCCCGTATTCCGGCCCCTTGAGCTACTATCAACTCGTCTCCGTACCAGTATCCTCACCCGATTGCCGATGCATACTTGCAAGAACTCAAGGACGCAGCGATTGAGGGAGACAAGGCGAATAGCGATAAAACTGAAGACGAGAAAGGGGACAATGTACCAGAGCCTACAACAGAACCCCAGGCAACGCCCGCTACTGGTCCGGAGAGTACCACGAATGGCTCGTCGTATCTCGTTCCTCCTGCTGCCACCGCCACAATCGACAAGTTGCAGGACGACACACCCGACGTGCCAATACGCGCTGTCGAGAAGAAGCGACTGCACTGGAAGGGAAAGACTTGTACGGCCGCTTCCCATTATCTAATCCTGGACTCAAGCTCACTCCCGCCATTATCAGACCTTGCACCATTGACGACAGTTGGCAATCTAGTACGCAATATCCTCACTACCGTATACTCCAATCTGTTGACGAGCTCATTTTCCAGCCCTTCCGCCGCCTATGCGTGGACTACGGCGCGGACATCACCTGCGGCGAAAGTGTGTCTTCCTCACCCTTATCTCCCAGTCCATCCCTGACTTATACGTCCGTGCCTAGTGGGCCTTGCAATGTCCTTTCTCCAAGGGTCCAAAGAGGAATGGTCACTCGTCCGGCGGCACCCTTCCGAGGGCATCTTCGGCATGCAAATCGCGGGTAGCAAGCCGCAGCTGCTCGTTCCCGCAGCGGAGATCATTGGACGCGAGTGCGCGGGCAACCTCGACTTCGTCGATGTCAATTGCGGGTGCCCAATCGACCTTGTGTACAAGACCGGCAGCGGCTCTGCGTGTAAGTGTCCGCGCTGCACCACAGCCTTGAGCTAAGGAAACTCACATGGACATGAACCAACCAGTGCTCGATGCCGCCGGGCGGTTGGGCAAAATTGTGGTGGGGATGAGCAAGGCGCTAGGCGATATCCCTGTCACTGTAAAGCTCCGGACGGGAGTCAAGGACGGCCGCAATACGGCGCACAAGCTCATGCCCCGCCTTGGGCCGGAGTGGGACGTCTCTGCGATCACTGTACGTTCACTGTGATATCCATCAAACGCGTTATGCGTTGTTGAGGTGGTTTGGTGCGCAGCTGCATGGTCGCACGCGGCAACAAAGGTACACGAAGTTAGCAGACTGGGACTACATCAAGCAGTGCGTGCAGGCAGTTCGCGCGCGTGAGGAGGAGGAAGACCGTGCGTTATGTTACCCTGTGTCTTACTTGGGTTACCTTGCTCTAACATGCCCATGACCGCAGTGGCTCCTGTGCCTATATTCGGCGGGGGCGACTGCTTCTCGTCCGAGGATTACTGGTACAAGATGGAGAACTATGACGTCGACGGGATCATGATCGGCCGCGGCGCGCTCATCAAACCCTGGATATTCACCGAGATAAAGGAGCGTAGGGAGTGGGATATCTCTGCCCGGGAGAGGCTTGAGCTCATCCGCAAGGTAGTGTTTCCCACACATCCGGACCACGCACCTTTGAAACGACTGCTCACGCACGCTTCGGACTTCCCTTCCGTTGTCGAATAGTATGCAGACTACGGTTTGAAGTGCGTCTGACTTCTCGATGAGAACGAAGGACAGCGATCGCTGACATCCTCTTAGTCATTTTGGCTCAGACACCGCAGGCGTGAACACGACCCGCCGGTACCTATGCGAAGCGCTCTCCTTCCAGTACCGCTACATTCCCATCGGCCTCCTCGAACGCATCCCGGCCAAGATCAACGAGCGCGCGCCAGCATATCGCGGTCGCGACGACCTCGGTGCGTACAGACATACGTACACGTGTCTACCGAATGTGGTGCTGATACCGAGATGGCGACTGGGGTATGATATTCAGAGACGTTGCTGGCGAGCGCCGACAGCCGTGACTGGGTCAAGATCTCGGAGATGTTCCTTGGGCCTGCACCAGAATCGTGGACGTTTACCCCGAAACACAAGAGCAACGCGTATGGCACAGAGGAGAGCCAAGGATGATTTAGCCGGCTGTGCTGAGAGGGATTGAAATTGCCCACTTAGATTGTGAGTGAAGCGGCAAGAATATGTTGAAATGATGGACCTTGGGACAGAGAGACACGGACATCGTCTAAGCGAGCGAGAATAACCTGCCGTATTGTTACATTAGTTGTGCTATAGCTACACCGAGCGCGGATACGCGTCTACCATCCAATCAGTACCCAAGCAGCTTCAATCCTTTGGGGTACCCAAAGTCAATCCGTGGTGTCCATGAGCTCGCCCCTTGACTCGGGCGGCTCCACAATGTCCGACTCAATGGTGAGCTCCGACGGCGTGAGCAGGTTATATGGCGGAGACGTCGGCGGCGAGTTCGGGTCAACGATGAGCGCCGCGACGTCCTCCGGGATCTCGGCCAGGAAGAGGCGGTTGTTGTGCTTGACAGAGTTCTTGAGGTTCTCAGGCCACTCGGTGCGCGCGTTCTCTTCTTCCTCGGACACGGCTCGACTGTAGACGAGGAAATATGGCCCCGCGGCGAGGTGCAGACCGGCAGGGTCCGTGAGGGCGGTCTCCTCAGACACCTAGAGTAAGTATGAGTTGGGAAGTAGACCCGGAAGTCGGATAAGAGAGACTGACTTTGGTAACATGGTAGTCGAGGGTCTTCCACCATTGGCCCTTGTGCTTGACGTACGAATACAAGTGGCTGCGTCCGTATAAGCCGTCATGGACGAGGACGGCACGGAGGTCGTACTACGGATACTTTCAGCTGGGTCACAAACGGCAATCAGGCAAGGAAAGACATACGCGATATTTTTGGAGCTCAGGGCAGTCCAGCTTGCTTTGCGCCTCTGTCCTCTTGCTTTCTATCGTCGCATCGATAGCTGGGAAACGATCGTGAACGGAGGATCAAGCCAGCAGAGAAGCGATTGCTCATACCCTTAGCCTCCTCCTGTATCTTCTCGATTATATTCGCAAGTTTCTTCTTGTTGGCCTGGATGTCTTGATCGCGCTTCGCGTCCCCGTTGCTCTCTGCGATATTCTCGTAATAGTACAGACACGACTGCAGATCCGCAAGCACGTCCTTGTCCTGTAATCCCAACCGTGTCAGCACGCCCAAGCACAGAAATCCCATACAAACGAATTGAACCGCACGTTATACCGCAGCAGGTTCCTCTTCCTCTCCTCTAGCTCCCTCACCTCCTCCAACAGCCCTCTCTGCTCCGCCCTCTTCGCACTCGCAAGCTCATAACTCTCGCGCATGAACTGGTCCAGATAGATGCTACTCGAGTACTTGAACGTCGCCCTCTCCGTCCTCCTCCCGAGCGCGGCGTCGTACGTAGGAGGCGCGCTGTCGCGCACGAGCTGGAACGCGACGATGTCCGACGGCTCGAAGATGACGTGCCGCTTCGCGACGCCTTTCAGCTTGCCCGTCACGGGGGGCGCGAACTCGGCCGCGAGCGCAGACACGAGGTCGTTGAGCTCGGGCCCTGGGCCGACGGCGATTTTGACGAAGCAGAGGTTGTCGGTGTTTGGGTCGTCCGCGGGGGCGTCGTGGTAGCCGTGGGACAGCATCATCAGCCTGTAAAGACCAGGTTAGATGGGGGATTCGAGTAGGGCGCGCACAGCTCCGGTTACCTTCTCGGCTGCCGCTCCGGGTTGTATACGTTGTTGTACTGCAATACGTTTTGGATCGCGTAGACGATCTTCTCGTAGAATCCTGGCAGGACTGTTCAGCGGTCGCATGCTGTGGGCAGAGCCGCGTGCATTGACTTACGGGATGTCACGTCGCCCAACCGCTCAGCAGGGCTATTCCAGGGCTCAGCTGCGAGGTCGCGCAGACCGTCGTCCGCGTTCAGCTCTCCCAGCAGCGCCAGGTCCATGTTGACCATCAACTCGAGCAGCGTCCACGCCTGGCGCCCTAAGAATCAAGGCCGACGCCGCTCTTCAGCACGTTGCTCACGAATCCCAGACAATGCAGAGTCACGCACCAGGTCCACTGTCAGGAGGCCAGATCTCCGTAGTCCCCTCCGCAGGCAGCGGCGCCCACTCCGCCAACGTTCTCCGGAATTGAGGGACGAATCCTAAGGCATGGATGAGGAGAGCGGCGTAGACCAAGCCGGAGGCGGTGGGACGAAGCGCGACAGGGCTGACGAAGACGCACTCGACGCTCAGCACAATGGCCACATAGAGAACCAGCGCGAGGAAGCACTCACGTATCGCCCTTCCGCACCTTGTCCTCGAGCGAGAGCTCCTCGAACGTGTCCTCGGTGACGTTGTACGACAGGCTCGCCTCGATCGCGCGGCTCATCGCCTGGTCGTCCTGCGACATCCCGCTCGGCACATTCGCCTCTACCTGTCCTCCATATATGAGCACAGCGGCACACGCGGCATGCGATGGATGCGCACATTCGAGGAGACCATAGCCCAGTTCGGGTCCGGGGCCCTATTGCTCGGCCCAAACGCCGTGCTCCCCTGGTCCTCCAACGACGCCTGCAGCGCGCGCGCGAGCTCCTTGTCGTCGTCGTCCTTCGTCAAGTCGATCACCGCCTTCTCCGGCCTAGACGCTGCCCTCTGAGTCAACCTCTCATCCAACTTCCTCTCGCTCCTCCACACGACTCGCGCGAGAACAAAGCTAGAGTGAGGACTCACGCGGTGGGGTGCGCGGCCCCTGCATGGGCGCGTCCAGCGGCTCGAGGTTGGGCAGGTCCGCGTAGATGCTGGGGTCGACAGTGTCGCCGGTGTCGCCCTCGAGGAGTGCGGACGCGGTCTTGTCCATGTTGCCGTCGTTGCGCCGGAGGAGGCTGAGCGCGACGTCCGCGTTCATCTCGTCGCCCATGATGCCGCGTAGGATCTCGAGGGACTCGAGCTCCTTGGCGGTCGGAGGCATCTGTCTGCTCTCGATCATGGTCTGTCTGTGTGCGGGGAACGAGAGCGGGAGGGTAAGACCGGTGGCGGAGGAAAGTTCGCTACTCACGTATATATGTTGCACGGAACAAACACTTGTGCGAGACTTTATGAGGGCTCTGTCTCCGGACAAGGCGTAATCAAACGTAATGTGTGATTCACGACGTCTTGAGGACGACTTTGAGTTAGCAGGCACAAAACCCGAGGAAAGGGTGATGTCGGTATACAAGTGTGGAGGCCACACAAGTATGTAGTTGCTCTGATCAGTTCTGCAATTGTCCGACTAGGTTCAGAGGCTTGGCCTCAAATAAGACGGTGAAGCGAGTCTATCGGGTAGATATAGCTGAGTGCGGTAGGGCGCAAAGAGGAAGAGTGCAATTGCGGCTCAAGTTCAGAGGCCCGGAAACCCATGACAGTTTGCAGGCGCGCAGCAAGAGCGTTCCAAGGGCTACATACATACTGAAATACGCTCATGTTCATGGAATCTGTAACCCCCATCACACCAAGAACATTCGTCTAAACCCCGCTTCGCTTTCGAGATCTCATTCTTCCTTTTCGCGTCGTACTTATGATTACAAGCGGGCTCAAGTACTGAAGTACCGTGAAGCGTGAATAAGTTGTGCGTCTGGGCCAGAAGAACAACCGGCCAATAACCGAGAATAGTAGGGTATATCTACACAATGTCAGAAAGCAACCAAAAAGCAGACGGCGAGCGTTCCTCCAGCCAAACCGACCAGCAAAAAGTCTATGGTCGGCAGTGGGGTGTGTAGGGGGGCTGCTGGGTGTAGGCGACGCCCACCAGACTAAGAAATGTCAGGGTAAGGTATGAAAAGTCGTGGCCGTGCGTGCGTTCGTTCCTCCTGGGTAGTCGTTGCCAGCCCGGACAACTCACGGGCACTCCGGCATCCGCACCAACTCCACCGCCCGCTCGATGATCTCCTCCACCGGCCACCGCTCCCCGTCCGCGTGCTTCAAATCTAACAGGTTCCCGATCTCGTCGCACGCCCGCAGCACCTCGTCGATGTCCTCCTTCGTGTGCGCCGCGCTCAGGCAGAACCGCACCCGGCTCGTCACCAGCGGCGTCGCGGGGTACGCGACGACGACGATGATGATCGGCACCGCGCGCGTGCGCATCATCCGGCTGAACACCGCCATCTTCCCCGGGTGGAACAGCAGCAGGGGCACCACTGGCGAGTCGTCCGTGCCGTACGTGATGAACCCGAGCTTGCGCAGGCCGCGGTTGAGGTAACGCGTGTTGAATGCGAGCCGGCGCAGGCGCATCTTCCCGTCCGAGCCGTCGATCATGCTTGGAACGAGCGGCATCCAGCTAGGCAGGGCAGACGCAGGAGCCGTCCCAGGGATGACTTCACTCTCGGGGATCACAGGAGCGGGTTCCGGAGAGCGGAGGAGCGCGAGCGACGGCGACGACGGCTTCTCGGGGGTCTTGGGCATAGTGACGCCCATGATGCTCGCCATACTCGCGATGATCTGGGTGAGAACAGGCGGGGTCATGGCCTCGGCGTACGTGAACGAGTGGCCTTGGATGCGAAGCCGGTCGATAATCTCCTTGTTGCCAGCAATGTATCCACCAGCGGCGCCGAACGACTTGGTGAACGTGCCCATGAGGATGTCGATCTCACGTGGGTTAATGCCAAAGTAATCCGCGACGCCTCGGCCGCGGGGACCCATCGCACCGACCGAGTGAGCCTCATCGACGAAGACGTAGAACTGCACCATCGCAGTAGGCAATCAGGTACCGTTGTTTCCGCTGAGGACAGATAGGCTCACCTTGTACTTCTTCTTGAGGGCCATGATGATGGGCAGGTTCGCCATCGTCCCCTCCATCGAGTACAGCCCCTCGACGATGAGCAGGATCTTCTTCCACGGCCGGTGCGTCTTCGGTTGGCCCTGGCTGATTACCTCGCGCAACAGGTTCTCCAACGACTTCATGTCGTTGTGCTTGAACATACGGACATTCGCCCCGCTGAGCCGCACCCCGAATCGAATCGACGCATGATTGAGCTCGTCAGAGATGACCAAGCTGCCCTTGCCGACCAAGCCTGGGATGATGTTGGAGTTCGTTGCGAAGCCCATGGAGCTGATGAGAGCATCCTCCGTTCCCATGAACCGCGCAACAAGCGCCTCCGCCTGCTGGTGCAGGTCGAGGTTACCTGCCTCGAGACGCGTCCCGCCGGACGACCAGCCGTACTTCTCCACGGCGGCCTCCACTGCGGCAGTGCACGGGCCCTTGCCCTGCGCAAAGCCGAGGTAGTTGTACGACGAGATGTTCAAGGCGCGCGTGCGCGTGCCGGTCAGGACCATCGTCTTGTTGTAGTCTGTAGAGTAACGGTCGAGGAGGACGATCGTGCGGCCGGGCACCCCGGTGGTGGGGTGGGAGAAGCAATCGTCGATGCGCAGTTTGAGGCGGCGGGTGTAGAACGAGTCGAAGTCCGAGTTGAGAGCCGCGTAGCCCTGGAACGCAAGAATCATTCAGCCCAATGCCCACCTCGTCAGAACCGTGACCATAATAGTTCCCAGAATCTTCCTCCGGGATGGGGTGGTCAGAGCAGGCCACGGTTTTAAGACGATTCAGATATTCAGAATCGGCGCAAAATAGGTCGCAGAATCGCTTCAAAACGCGCATTCTGGCCACCCCAAATACAGACGGGAGCGCAAAGAGAGACACTCACGTTCCACGGCAGCAAGTGCTTGTAGTTTGCCCGGCGGAACCTCTTGCCAACGAAGTCGCGGACGTGCCCCAGGCAGATTACGATGATGTAGCTAATGTACGTCGTGAGGAGAATATAATACGGCGGGTCCTGCTCCGGGATGCTCTTGTACGGCGTTCCCGCGCGGTGCTGCGACGTGTACCGATAGTCCTCGTTCGCGCAATGCCCGAACTCCGAGTGCACCGTCGTGAACACCTGGTCCGACGTGGGGGGCACGCGAGGGTACGAGAGCCCGTCAGCAACATCAACACCACTCTCGTCCAGGACGGTGTCCTCCGAGCTAGAGGTGACCGAGGAGGACATGGAAAGGGCGGGGGTCGACGTGGGGGTCGCGCCGTGAGCACGGGCGCGTGCGTCGGCCTCGGAGACGGCGGACAGGTAGGATGCGGCGGTCGGGAGGCTGGACATGGACTTTTTCTTCTTGAAAATGGACTGCGTCGGCGACGCCGAGCTGAAGGCGATGGGGGACGGCCTGGAAGGCATGGCCGGCTCGCTCGACGACGGCGTGTAGGGTGTAGGACGAAGGAAAGGGGACAGCGAGAAGAGAGTCCGAAGGAGAGAGGGCTCGGTCGCGAGCGGTAAATAGGGCGCGCGTGTCGATCGGCGCGGAGCTGCAACCCACGCCGGCTGAATAATTTAAGACTAATTGCCGGGCGGCTGACTGATTAAAAGAACGCGTCCGAAGTCAAAACAGGGTAAGTTAAGTAACGACGCGACGGAGCAGAACGGGTCCCACGGCGGCCGCTTCTCTGCGACAGTCGACGGCGGAATGGGGGACGAAACTTCAAGAACGCTTCCGATGTCGGCAGACCCGCCTTATATCCTCGTCGTGCGGCAACCTCTCAGGCACTCGCATACATTGCAAACACAGTAGTAACGGCATACATGGCCTCCGTCTCAGTCTGATTATTGATGTGTGGTATCACGGAGGCAATGGTACAGTAGCGGCCAACCGTCAAATGTCATCGTCCATTTCATATCGCACTTCTAGTCTCACCCAGCCAACAGAAAGACAGCCGAGTATCATCTATAGGAGGAGGGCATTTCAAAGGCGGTCGCCACGACCAATAACCTTGACCTGCAAGTGTAACACAAGATCATGAGCGTCGTTCCCGACCGACGCGCGCGCAGATGCGAAGGCCAGACACTCACCGTGAACCCAATCTTCTGCAGCTCGTCCGCGTTCAAGATCATCCGCCCGTCGAACACGAATGCAGGCTTCGACATCCCGTCGTACACCGCCTGCCAGTCAATCTCCTTGAACTCCTTCCACTCCGTCGCGATCACAATCGCCTCCTTCTGCGTGCACGCCTCCAGCGCGCTGTGCACGATGCTCACGTGCTTCTTGATCGTCTCCAGCGGCCATGTCGGCAGCGCCTCGGACAGGTCCAGCCAAATCTGCGCCTCCTCCACCTTCGGGTCGTAGATCGTCACGTACGCCTTCTCCTGCAGGAAGTCCCGGATGAGCGAGATGGACGCCGACTCGCGCGTGTCGCCAGTGTCGGCCTTGAACGCGAAGCCGAGGACGGCGATGTGCTGTATGAGTGAGAGAAATGCGTTCAGTCTCAGTCATCCCAGTAATGCGGAAAGCTGCACGCCGGCGCTGCGCATAGCTGCGATATCGAGCATGTGTCGATCCGTACGCAATGCTCTCTGCCCCCCACAGATTGGATGTATAGGCATACTTCGCAGCACCCATCAACACCGTCTGCGGCGCCACTACGCAGCGCAGGCACACAGCAATACAGGAACCCAAAACACACCTTGCCAGTAATAGTGTTGAACAGCGTGTCCACTACCGTCTTCGAGAACCTCCTCTTCTGGTATTCGTTCATCTCCACCACCTGGCGCCAGTACTCCGCGACCTGCGGCAGGTGCAGGCTCTCGCTCAGATACACCAAGTTCAGGATGTCCTTCTGGAAGCAGGACCCTCCGAAGCCGACTGAGGCCCGGAGGAATTTGGGCCCGATGCGCGAGTCGAAGCCCACGGCGTGCGCGACCTCATCGATGTTCGCGCCCGTCGCCTCGCAGATCGCAGAAAGCGCGTTGACGGACGAGATGCGCTGCGCGAGCATAGCGTTCGCGGCGAGCTTCGAGAGCTCGGAGGACCAGAGGCCGACGGTGAGAATACGCTCGCGCCTGAGGGTGGAGGACAGTCAGCATCAGGTACGTGGAGGTGAAAGCGCCAATAATGTGTGAAAAACAGGGCTCTGCATCGGGACCGAGGGAACATTCAATGTGACCTCGGGCATCTACACGCCGTGGTCGACGCGCTACGCTCATAATCTGGGCGGTAGAGCACCACGCGAGACAGCGTGTTGGCACGCCAGATCTTATACAGGGGAGCTGTCATGTTTAAACAGACCACGCACGATGAGAAGCACTGAGCATGTCGACATCGACAGCGGATACCCCTGCTGTACCACACGCGCAGGCCTTGCAGGTATGAACGACACAGAAGGGGCGTCTCCTTGGATCGATAAGGACATAAAGCGGAGACACTCACGGCACCCAGTTGGCATATACCTCCGCGAGCGACTGACACGCGTCCTTGCCCTCCTGCGTCTGAAGCGAGCCGATCAAGACACGGTCGGGCTTGAAGAGGTCGGCGATGGCGGTGCCCTCGGCGAGGAACTCGGGGTTGGAGAGGATGTCGAAGCGCGTGCCGGGCTTGGAGTTGGCCTCGAGGATGGTACGCATCGACTCGGCCGTCCGGCAGGGCACAGTCGACTTCTCGACGACGATCTTGTTTGTCGTCGCAACGGCTGCGATGCGGCGCGTGGCGGACTCGACATAGCTGGTAAACGGCGGTGAGGCGGGTGGGGATGCGCGATAGGGTCACCGCGAGGAATGGGGAGGTGTCGATTGTTGAGTGGAGGTGCGTTGGAGCAGATGCAGCGATGAATAGGGAAGAAGCAAACGGACCGTAAGTATCAACGCAGGCAAGAAAACGCCATAATGAGACGCACTTGAGATCAGCGGCGAAGCCCGCTCCCACTCCAGACTTCTTGGTGGGAGTGTTGACCGAGACGAAGATCAGGTCCGCCTCCCGGATGGCCTTATCGACGTCCGTCGAGAAGAACAAGTTGCGGCCGCGGGCCTGGCGGACGACCTCCTCCAGCCCGGGCTCGTAGATCGGCAGCTCAAAGTTGGGGCTGTTCCACGCGTCGATCCGGGCCTTGTTGAGGTCGACAATCGTAACCTGAATGTGCGGGCACCTGAGTGCGACGACGGCACACGTCGGGCCACCTGCGCGGCAGAGGCAGAGGCGGCAGTCGCGATGTCCATGTCAGAACCAGAACCTTGTTGCATACACCCCGAAGGCGATAGACTCCGAGCGGACTCACCGACGTATCCCGCACCGACTGCGAATCACAAACGGATCTCGTGAGCACACTGACGACCACACGTATCCCACGCTGTCTGAGGCGCGACGTACTGCAGCAGATTTTGGAGACCTTGACGGGGGCCATGGCGGACGGTAGATGGAGTGGATATGGAGGGGGTTACAGTTGAGGTGGCAGGAGACGATGTGCGATGCCCACCAAAGCAGCGGCTGGCTTTATGTGCCAGCGCGATCGCGGCGACGGCGCTGCAACGCCAAGCCCCCGTGCCGGCACATTCCCTGTATTTTTCGGGGCTACATCGCCTTGCGGCATGAAGGATATCTTCGTATCACATAATTTCGATCCCGGGCTCGAGAGTGGGCCAGGCGTAACACACATTGCATGGCACAGTACGCTACAAATCGTTAGGTTATCGATGCGGTCATCAAGAGAAGCACTTCAGCATCAGTCTGGACGAAGTTCAAGCTGACAACTATCAAGCCCCTCAACAGCCGCAGCAGTGATAATATATTCGAAAACCGCAAGGGAGCTATCTTTTGAAACATTCATCGCGTTACAGTTACAGTGCCGATGCGCGCGAAGAAGCGGAAGGGAAGTACACACGCGGATCAAAGCACGAACTGTTCGATAGGTCGAAAAGGAAGCCTTTGATGATTCTGCTAGGTACTCAACGCGATAAAGAACACAAGTCTGAGTAGAAGGATGACGATGCTGGGCTAAATGGACGAAGCCTCCGAGCACCGGTGGTCAGCGAAGCAAAAGCATCGCTTCTCTCCTTACGAGCCTGAGATAGATGACTACTTCACGTCGGGACGTTCTATCGGGGCCAATACAATCAGCTAAGCTCTGGCGTAAAGAATATGACAGGCTCGGTGAGTAAACTTACTCATGGCGAGGACTTCAAGCCCGGGAATAGCTGGCGCATTCGACATGCCTCTCGTACTGTACCGAGCTGTACGTCAGCCAAGGAAGCGTGGTTTACACGTACCACTCGGCAACGACGGCAGGGTACCGCACGCTGCAAGATAAGTGACGTGTGCGTCCCAAAGGTCCAGCATAACGCGGTGCTCAAGACTGTAAGCCCGACCACAGGGCCTCTGGCGTGTGGCGCCAAACACGTCGGAGGTAGACAGGAGCTATGGCTAATAGCCGGCGTCCAGCGAAAGTCCAGATGAAGCGAGTAAAGCAGGGAGCACCTAGGTACAGCCTAGAACGCGGGGACGGCCTCGACGGCATGCGCCTGCGGCACAGTTGTCCACAGTGTGGTTTTGCAGACGTTTGGTGACAACGATGAGTGGATATGTGTGTGCTCCACTGGTCGGAGGCTAGGAGGTTACGGAGTTTTTCGAGCAACCTGTCCCTCCCACACCGGCCACAGGAGAGCTCGCGTTACGTGCCTCGCTTATGAGCGTCCAGCGCCGAGCTTGATTCCTTTAGCACCAGAACAAGCCTAGGATGACTCGAAGAAGGATGGCTTGTCGCTCTTGATAGTGACAGCGCACGTTTGACCTGGATCCGTTCCGCATGGGTATTCTTGTGTTCGGGGTAAAGGAGGCGGAAATGAAATTCGCGCTTCAGACGGCCGCCCAGGTCTTGCGGAATAGCTGAATATCCTGTCTCGACATCACCTGGCATACGATGCGATTGAAGAGGGGCGGCATACCTGACGAGTGTGCCCGGTCTGTAAGAGACGTCTGACTCAGAGACTCAAACGAGGATGCGCACGGTAAATCGGGACATCTAGAGCTGGAGAGAATACGACGACCAGGTGGGCTGCGTGCCGGATATGTGGTAGCACCAGGAGCGCAGGCAGACGAGATAGAAACGTAGGGCTGTAAGCTCGCCGCTCGCGGATGCGTGGGTGTGAGGAATTCAGGTAGTCCACCAGGAACTTAGCGGCGAGGTCGAGAACGAAGAAACCGCGACATACAAGTTCACATATTCGCATGATCGAGCTCTGTCATCCCACACTACGCATAGCTGGTGAGGTTTGCGAGGGAGCCGGAAGAGCGGTGACACAGTACATATATTGCATTTGGCTGAGCTCTGCAAACGCATGAGGAACAAGTGGCACACAGCGGGAGGTGCATATACTGCTTGCTGACTCAGCACATTCAAAAACGGGCCATGTTCCTACGAGACTGTCCAATTCAACAAAATACTTAGCCTGGCTCGATAGTCAAAGAAAGAAAGGTGACTGAATAGTGGCATTCCGATGGCTCAGGGGGGCGGACTGATCCGCGTCCGGATGGGAGCGCTGTATCTACCTTGGACGAACTCGGAGCCATGGGGCTGAGCTTATGTCCTATCTTTCATGTACTCCTGCTTTCATCCCAAATCACAGGCAAATCATCGATACAGACAGGAGGGTCAAACAAACACCTACTTACCGCTGGGGGACGGTTGGCGGCGGGCTGGATGGGCGTTTGTGCACAAAATAAGCAGTCTTGTTTGTCTGTTTCGGTGTCATTCGTCTGTCCTTTCTTCCCATCAACACAACGCATGATGCATGACGTCCAATAAATTGAAAGAATATCAGGGGTGAGGGATACACGTTTCATATACCCTCTACCGTCTCAACTGATTGAGCCCTGATATTGTACGAGCTAGGGATGAGCATCAAACGCCCCTGTCGCCACAAGGACTGGGCCTCAACGCGTACTAGACCCTCTTGGTTGCTCGCAGGCGCAGCGTTGTTTTGACCGCGGTCATGACCAAAGCCATGACCGATTTTGACTAGCTTGACTGGTCATGACGGTTGGTCAAAGGTCAACGCGTGATCTAGGCGACCGAGCGCTTGTGGGGTCGCACTAATCACGTTGATTGGGACCAGCAGCTATGGATGGCCCGACTATTTGTGTATGCCTAGGTAGAAATTGTATAGAATTGAAGGAGCATTTTTCGAGGGGAGAGTGAGCGGAAGGTGTCAGATAATGTGAGCTGGAGACAACAGAGGTTGGAAGTATCAAATACTTCAACTCCGTCAGCGGTAGAAACTATTCGGACTGAAGCATTTTTCGACTCTTCTACCGGACAGATAATATTGTGAGCGTGCAGCTTCCTCCCGCACTCGCTATTCCCTCACCCCCCTGACTAC